TCCTGTGTTCATCAGGGACCCTTGTGAGAGCGAGTTTGCCACAATGACTATCTGTCCAAATGCAAGGGATGCGACAATGATGCGCTGCCCATCTGAGACCCTGCAAGGCAGCACATAGCTCGCCACCATCCACCGTTTGCAATGCCCCCGGCAACAGACCTGCTTGCAGAACAGTAGCCGAATTGCTCAACACGACAGACCAAGAAACAAGCGTGAGACCCGGATGAAAGCCCCATCGCTGCGACCCATCCACAAAAAGATGCTGCATCTGATCATCGACCGGAGAACCTTCCCGATCCCGTGGTGCCCAAGGCAGCTCCTGCAAAGCTTTCCACCCGGAAAATTGAAAAGGAGAGGCTGGCAGCAGCGCATGGTTAGCAAGCGCAGGTGGCAAAGTTGTCCATTCCTGAACACATTGATGATGGCGGTCCACTTCTTGAAGCGCCGGGCATCGGAGAGCTCGGTGAGCGAAAGAATCTGGCTGTCCACACATCAATCACCGGTGTTGCTGTGGTCAAATTTGGCCTTCTGGGAGTTGAGGTAGAAAGTGCCTTTCCAGATGCATTTAAGGAGCTCCTGATCAGCCAAAGTAGTAGGCTTAGGATAAACAAAGGTGCAGTAGGGCTCAATGCCATCCAAGCCAGCCATGCTAGAAAATGAAGGATCAAGTCCTCATCCAGCCATAGATGAAGGAAGTCACACCACCTGGCAATAGCTCCAAAAGGCCCAAAGGTCTTCGTAGTCGGTGGAGAAACCACATAGTCTTTCCACCAATCACGCAAAGCTAGGCTCTTATGCGCTTGCCGGTAAAATTCCGTAAAAGATTTCCAGAAAGCAAAGTAGCCAGGGTCAAGCTCAGGTTCCGACGTGAAGGCCAGGTGCAAAATTGGTGATGCTCCTGCTCTGTTAGCATGCAAAGCTGCCATCGCCTGAGAGCGTAATTTGGTGATCCAGTGCATTCCAAAAACCAAGTGACTGCAATGATGTAAAGCCTTTGGCCAGACAGCGACGCGCAAACCAAGCTGTTTGTGCCACATTGAAGCTGAGAGCTTGCGCAATCTGTCAAAACAAGGCGCCACACTTTTGATGCGATCAGTAAAGGCTTTGTTGCGCAAGCGACCACCATAAATCATTGCCGCTCCTAGATCAGAGCCAGCTTCAATAACCTGCAGGCCTAAGTGAGTTTTGGGTGGACCGAACTCCAGCTGTAAAGTGTCGCCCCAAGTGGTGAGGGCTGCAAAACCCTGACACAAATCAGCCACACCCCAAGTTGTCCACAAAACTCATGGCATGAACCCGTGGCGAGTAGTGAACCATGTATGCATGTAGCCATGAGCATGCCGACACAGCTGAGACTGTCACCCTCCGGGACACCAGAGGTAGAATGATGCATAGGTCCAAACTGCTGACGTACACAGAAGGTGCGCACATTGTGGTCCAAGAAACAAGCCCAGCCTTTGCGTGTGGATGAAGGCAAGCCCAAACATTGTGCAGCAATCAGCAATGGCCAACGAGGCAGGTAGTTAAAGCATCTGCGAATATCCGTAGTCACCCCGCAAAGCGCTTCATTGGCCTTGACAGCCATTTCAATGCCGCATTGGAGCCAATAGGTGATGTCAGAGCTTTGTCTTCCCGCCAGATACCCATGTGTAGCATAGGGTATGTAGGCCTCCAACTGCGCTAGCAGGGAACGCGAATGTATGCACCCCCAGAGTCTGTAGAGCGTGGAGTACAAAACAACCGGGCGGTAGTCGCCCGCTTGAACAGCATGTGGATGCTTCTCCAGACAATGCACGTGTCCAACCAAGAGTTGAGAGGGCCACTTGGCCCCGGCTTCAATTTGCTGGAACATGTTAGAGACATCTTGTAGCAGGGTCCGGAAAGTGTCTGAAATCCTCAGCACTCCAACCCTCAGGGCCCCGGGTTCGGAGAGCCTGTCCATCACGCAGCAATACCCGAATCGCGGAAACATCTGCGATTGGCGTACTGTGGACTTGACTTTTGAGGTTGGCCCTTTCCCTATGGGTCCACCAAAGCGCAGGTCATCAAGATTCTGGCTGCTTGGAAGTGGGTTGCTCGTCTTCTTCGGGCTGTACGTGGGGCTACTGGTGGTCGCTTTTGGTTGGTTGGCACTAGCACGGAACCTCCGGCGCTCCATTTGGCCACTGATGCTGGTCCGGTGACGGTCACGAAAGTCAACAAGCCTCAGGAATCACCTTCTCAAACCTCTACCATTGTCGCCGCCGCCAAGACCAGAGTACACATTCAGCACAACCCCAAACCTGCAACTGCTAGTAGCAGTAGTGGTTCTGCCGATCCTTGGTTACGAGGTGATCCATGGAGTGGCTATCAAGGCATTCGTACTCCTGTCAAGCCAACTGATCCTTCTGAGATCGTCTTCACTGACCAACACTCCATGGCTTCTTCCAAGGCATCCCGTCAGCGCATTGATGAATTATATGGGATCGATAGTCCATACTTTTTTCCTAGAGGTCAAGGACATATTATTATCTATAAATTTTTCTTGTACCGGACCCCAGTCACAGGATTCCAAAAAAAACAAATGTTGGTGCAAGATGTTGGTGCAGGAAAAAATAAGACGCGTAGAAAAAAAACATCCTAGGGACTTTTGACCCTCATGAACATGTTAATGACAGGACTTTATAACTGTTTGTTTGCTGTTTCTTGCTTTCTAGAGTTAGGTCAAGGCCAGGATTTCATTTTCATTGGTTCTGCTA